AGATGAATTAATAAAGCAAGCAAGCATTACAGCAGTTTCAGCGTTTCAGCTTCAGCTCCATCGCAACTAACCCAGTCATAAATTTGCTGAGCTCTCCAATACTGTTGATGTCAGGGGTATGCAGAGGTCCAGAGCGGCTTTTAAGCTGGTGTAGAATCCTCCTTGAGAAGGTCAGGAACGGTATCAGCCAGCCCTGCTGCTACTATGCTTCCTGGTTATATCTCCTGTTCATCAACTCATTGGATGGATGCGACATGTTAAATAAGGAGGAGGCTTACATGTATGCTAGCATGTATGCACGCATCAGACTAAGGGAATCTGAAAAAGTTTATTCTGCTGAAAAAGATAAAACTCTGGTATTGTTCGTGAGATTGATTTCAATGCTAGCCAAACCAGAGAGCTCATATGGCAGGTTTAATACTACTTCTATGGAGATGGCAAGGCTTAAGGCAGAAATGAAGTGCTGAGAGTACAAGGTCATATCCTGGAACTAGGCAGATGGGAGTCCCCAAGAAATAACATTTTCTTGGTCACTTATCCTGACACAAATTGTGAAAGTCTCCTTCGACTGCTGCTCTGTGTTGGACTGTGCTTAGCATCATTCTGACAACTTGTCACTGTTCCTGATCACATTACCTTGGAATTACAGTAATGAATTACAGTAATTACAGTAACCACCACCTGCATATTCCAGATTTCAGGGAGGTAAAAACTAAATGTGATTGTGAAGATCTCCAGAAGGACTCTTTAAACTGTGTCAGTGGTTAACCAAATCAAAAACACAGTTTGGTAGTTTGGGTAGAGGTAAAACAATGTACATTGCAGCAAAACCCTTTAATTTTACATATACACTGAGGAAGTCTGGGCTGTCAGAGTAAACCAGGAAAAGATCTTAAAGTCACAGTACTCAGTTGAAGATGTTAACTTGGTGTGAGATACCTGTGAAAAAGGCAATTCCATTTAGGGATCATTAGGAATGGAATGAAAGACAAAAATGCCAACATTGCAATGCACTTTTACATCTGCATCTGGAGTACTATGTGCAATTCTGATTTTTGCATTGGAAAAAGGAATAGAGCAGGAAAAAAACAGAGAAGAGGACAACCAAAATGATCGGGGCTTGAATGCCTTCCCTGTGGAAGCAGTCACCCTCAGAAACAAGAACAGCATCCTCATTGGTAACATTTAGAAAGCTCTTATCAACTTGGCTGTTTCAATGGGCATTTGGGGATTGAGGAAGCAACAAAATATGTTCCTAGGATAGGTACAGGTGCTGCTTATTATGCTTGGCCACTGTGAGAAACACAATGTTGGACTAAGACGTACCTTAGCCTGATCCAATAGGATTGTTTCTACATTCAGAAGAAATACTCTTTCCTGACCTCTGTCTTGATGTATTCTTTAATCAGGCCAATCTGTGGTCAAAAATGCAAGAAAGCACTTTGACTAGAGCACTGTTTCTCACATTTAACTTTAAGATGTGTGGACTTCAGCTCCCAGAATTCCCCAGCCAGTATGCATGCCAAGGTTGAGAAACACTGGCAGAAATTCTATTTGTTCAGTTATAATTCATGAAAATATTTTCCATGAATTGCCCAGTTAGTTGGACAAGTCTCTCTATTAGTTTGATTTCTGCAATATTCAAAGAATTTTCCTACAATGCATGGACATAGTTCTTTTCAAGGATTCAGCTCACATCAATAACTAATGTGTAGAGGAAGCAAGCATGCAATTTTCAGTCACCAGGACAGCAAAGGTGAGCCATCCAAAGTGAGAAATGGTCCCCAAGGTGCTTTTGACAAGGTAGGAAGCAGGCATGTGCAGCTTCATGCTCACCCTCCATATTGATGTGCTTTACATGGTGTAAACTCTTTGAAAATTTAGTATCTTCTAGTGAGATGGTATTGCATGAACATTTACACAGTCAGCCTCTCTCTCTCTCCCTCTCCATTTCCCCCCTAAAGTATGCAAAAAAATCACACTACTGTCATTTTAAATGTTTTGCATTCCTAGTCCTGAAAATCATTATGTTTCAACAGGCAATTGGTCTCTAGGCTGACTGTGGGCACTCATCCATACTATGATTGTTATTGTGGTTGTTTTTAACAGGCTTGAAATATTCTGTGTCTGGTTGCTCCTTGAACACTGCCCTGAGTCTTGCTGCGTGAGATGGTATACAAATATTATAAAACAGACAAACAGCTGGTGATCTTCAGTTGATTATTTTGAAATTGCACTGTTGGCAAACATTCACTTATTTTTAGCTTGTTGCATCAGGATATTGCATTGAAAACCATTCTTGCTTCCTGAGGTTGCATTATAATCATTCATATGTGTAATGATCTGCGGGAATGACCTTGGGAGACAGAAGGAAGAGCCACAGAGTAGGCAATGGTCAGATAAGAGGCAGCTGAGCCTGCAGAAGGAATGGGGAAGTGGCAAATGCCTCAGAAGGGACCTTCCCTAGTTCCTTGGACTGTAAAGAGGAGGGGGGAGAGATGTGCTTTCATACTTGAAAGACTCTATTAATATAACCTTACAATAAAGTTAGAGCTAGTACTTTTGGGTGTGCTTCTTGTCTGGACTACCTCCAAGGCTGACAATATGAGAGGTCACTTGCACTAAACATTTACTTCTGAGTGACCTGATTAGGAATTCCTTTCCTTGTACTACTTTCAAAGGAACAACCCAAGAATAGGTTCATTATAGATTGCTGTAATGAAGTATAAATTTCAATATGACTATTTTAGATTAAACATATTAACTGCATTCAGAAGTTACATTTCATATATAGTAAACTAGTTAGAGTATAGGACTTGGGCTGGGGGGAGTGATATAGCTTCAAATTATCGTTTGACCACTGAGTGTCCTTGAGCCACTCTCCCTCCCTCTCTCCCTCTCTCTTTCAACCTACATCACAGGCTTGTAGTAAATATGAAATTAGATATTACTGTAAGCTACCTTGAATTCTGTTTAAGTAGGAATAATCATAGTAGTAGTAGCTGAAGAGACTTTCTGTATGGCCAGTATCAATATCCAAGACCAATTTAAATCTTTCCTCCCTGTGCATGATGGAGGAAGAGATTGTCTCTATTTGCAGCTTTGATGGTTTATCCTTTTCCTCTTCCACTCCCTGCCTGGATAGTAAAACACATTGTCGTTTCAGCAAGTTGAATTTGGTGATGATATGTGAACCAACAAACCATGTTTTCAGTGAACTCTCCATACTGAAATGGTTGGATCCAGGTTTGTAATCTTGAATGAGAAGGGTTTGCTTTATCCAGAGTTTGCTGGAGCAAGCTGTAGTTTGAAGAAACCAAGGCATCTTCTATTAAGTTATTCACAAAAGGAGAGGAGGGAAGGACTGGAGGAAGGAGGAGGCAGTTCTACTGTCTGGACGAGGGATCTTTTTCCCTCACAGATGAGGAAATCAAGCTGGCTGCACCTGCAGGCAAATACTTGCCATACTCCCTCCTGGAATTTTGTCATTGGGTGTCATGGGCAGATCCAGAGTAAGTGATAAGTTTGTCGTTCTTTGAGTAAGAGGCAGAGAGTTGTTGAGGGAGGAGCTCTATCCATTTTCTTGGAATGGGAATGCAGAGGACTGTGGTCATGGTGAGAGGGTAACCTGGCAGAGAAGAGGGGAGGGATAGATTTGTTTGGACTGCAAACAAATGGGAAAGGTCTTGGGGAGGGAATCAGCAGCAGATTGTCGTCCAGTGGCAACATTTAAGGACAGCTCAGAAGATCTTTTTTTAGGGGGCTGTGACAGATTAAGCATTTTTCTGATAAAATTGCTCATATTTGTTCAGATCTGGGCTCCACTTTGGCAGAACCAAAGGAAGTAACTGGGACAAAATCTGGTGAAGTGATCAGGGGTTCTTTTGAACTTGAGGCATCTGGTTAACCCCTCCTCAATAGGTTAAAGAGCAGGCCTGCTGAGAAGAAGCAGGGCTTTTCAACAGTTGTCCCAACTCTCTGGAATGTGCCCCACCTCCAAATTCCTGTTATTTCACAGAACAACAAAGATTTGACTCTTCAAAAAAAAAAAAAAAAAAGCAACATCTGGAATTGTTTTTAATTGCTCTGAATATCTGAATATTGACCGCTTAGAATCTCCGGAGCAAGGACAGAATACAAATATCAGTAAATAATTAAATGCATACACTCACTTTGGATCCTTCCAAACCATTGCTTGGAGAATTAAAAAATGAGATGTGCGAATTCTTTTTGAAGACCCTTTTGATGGGAGGATGATATTGCTCACAGAATGCCTCCAAAAGAAAGTCCTAAAGGTTATAAATATGAGAATAATTGGGCCTAAAAATTTCATGAATGAATTTTCTTGTGGTGACTCAAAGTAGTATTCAACTTGCTCACCTTCAAACTGCTGTAAGAAAAAATGTAGATGTTCAGAAGCAGTTTGCAGCATGGTGAAGGCCAAGATGAGGCTACTCAGCAGGAGAAAGAAATAAAATAAAATGCCAATTTCTCTCTGTGCATAGATATATTGGTTCTGTTTTATTGTTTTTAACTGACATTGATTTTTTTTTTTTATGAGGGCTTAAAATGTTCTTTTCCTAGCAGTTAATGTTTTTTTGTAACTTTGTAATCTGTCAAGAGAATCTTAGTTATTAAGTGGGAAGGAAGGAAGGAAGGAAGGAAGGAAGGAAGGAAGGAAGGAAGGAAGGAAGGAAGAAAAGGAAGGAAGGAAGGAAGGAAGGAAGGATAGTCTCATTGGAATCTGGCGCATGAACTGCAACTTACTATCCTTGCTTACACTGGTTCCATGGTACAGTAGTAGCCTTTCCCTCTGAGATGTGTTGGCAACGAAACTCCCAGAATTCCCATTCTGACGTGCCTTTTGGCATGCAGTCTCAACACATTTGGAGATGCCAGGCTTGGAAAGATTCAGTAGGTTATTAGCTGCTTCTGGGTAGCATCCTCTGGGTAGCATTTGTTCCATTTTATTCTGAAGTTACTTCATTTTCTCTTTCCAGCTGCCATTGTCATCCAGAAGTGGTGGTGTCATATGAGCCCATGTCTGGAAGGAGAGGAATGTAAAGTGCTTCCAGATTACTCAGGTTGGTCATGCAGCAGTGGAAACAAAATTAAAACAACCAAGGTAAGTGGATGGAGGTACTCACTCCCTGCTCTCAAGTTGACCAACATTAGGGACTATGGTAGGAGACAAATGGGAGATGTATTAGATTTTCCAACCTTTTTTAAAAAAAGGATGCACAAGAGAAGCCCAGATTATATCACTGGGTGGGAAAGGACAGTTTAACCGGTTCTCTTTAGTTCTGATCTAAATTTCCTCCTGAAATAGTGTTTGCCCCCCACCCCTCCAGGGTAGAAATCACATATGTTACTACATGGAAACTATGCTTTTCTCCATGGGGCAAATAGCAGATGAAGAGGCTTTGCATATTAAGAAAACATCTCCCTGCTATACTGTGTCCTAATCCCACCTTCTTTTCCTGATTTTAATTCAGAGGTAGGACTTCTAATCAGAACTCCCTCCATTTTTATAATTTTCTACACTAAGCATGGATATCTCTACTTCAAAGATGCCTTGATGTATGTGCGCGCACATGCCCATGTGTGTACACAGAGACACAAACATCATTCACCTTGGTGCCATATCTATGGAAGGGGGACATGCATTTTGTGTCAGTCTTTCAGGACTGCAGTTCATCTCCTGTAGTACTTAAGTTGCTGAAGATGTAGCCATGCAGTTTAAGGTCAGGTTTTACTAATTACCATAATGTTCCCAAAGTCAGTGGTCTGTTCCTCCTATATTATGGAATGAATGACAGTCTTTTGAGGGAAGGAGTAAAAGGCTGACACTTAGAGTCAAGGTTGAGCTAAGGTTGCAGCTTCTTTCTGGTACAAGTGACACTAATCACAAATCTTCAATGCTGCCTTTCTCTTGGTATCCCCATGTTGGCTTTGTTTTTGAGCCATACTAGAACAAGAATTCTCACAAATGCATGCATATAGAAGCTTTAAACGTCCATTCTCTAGCATTTCTATGCAGCTGAGATAGAGTTCCCCATCCCTACTGGTATGTTAGGGATGGGGAGCTCTACACATATACAGTACATGTCCCATCTTCATTTCCTATGACGGAAGGTGGAATATTTTCTGTGGCAGTCACCAAGCCCCCTCCATACCTGATTCTTAAAAATTATATGGATTTTTTTAAATTGTCAGCTCTGGGAATCATCTTTCTTTTCAAGAATATCCCTGGGAGCTTCATAACTTCTATAGGCTTTTTTTAAAAAAAGAAAACATAATAGTAGGTGGATGCAGTCCTGTGCAAATGTAGGCAATTTGATGTCCTCTAGGAGTTTTGCACTTCAACACACATCAGACCTAGCCAGTATTGCCAGTGGAATTGTGGAATCAGCGGTCTTAAACATCTTGGGGGTACAAGATGCCTCCCCCAGTCCAGTGCTTTGTTTGGAAATAGGAACATTTGCTCCCTCTTCCTCTATCAAAATTAAAATTAAAATTAAAAAAAAAATAAAGGCAAAGACAATCTGAGGGCTTTGTAGGGAGGATCTTGTATATCTGTGAGGACCAACTCATCAATTTGCTTTCTGGGAAGTACATGTTTTGTAGGGCTGGTGGCCCAAAAAAAAAAAAAAAGACAAATGCTAATGGGCAGCAAAGATATACAGAAAAGGGACTCTGCTGCCATTTGTTGGTCATCTGGATTCTGAGACTGGCCTTAGACCTTTTGTCAAGGTTGCAAGCCATATTTTTCAATATTCTTGTTTTGAAGTTTTTAATCCCAAATTTGAAAGCCTGGAGTAGGCCATCTCTGGAAGCTCTAGATATATAAACTTAGGTTATAAAGAGGAAGAACTGACAACAAAGCAGGTTGACAGTGCTCTGATTTGTTTGCAAACTTGCTAAGTGTATAGATAAAACCTTGTCAATAAGGAAAAAATGCTCTTCTCTAAAACAACTGGTTGATTTTGCCTCGCATTCCCTAGAATCATGCCTTTGCTTTTGCTATTGATTTTGTCTTTGTTATACAGAGACGAAGGTAAAGGCTGGGCTTTCAAATCTGCCTGACAGTTTAAGCTTGTGTTAAATTTAAAGCATATGGCACATAAAATGTGGAAAGCTAAGTATATTCCCTAAAAAATCTTTTTTCTTTTTGTGTAAGAGACTTTATTTCCTTTAAAATGGTAGCCTTTCACCATGATACCATCAGGTATGATGACTCACTGCCCAGACATGGAAATGTGTGGGGAGATGAGCGTCATTAATGTGAGTGCCTTGCTGAAGAGGGAGCCTCAGGTTGCTCAAGTCACTTCAGGTGAGAAAAAATGTGTGTGCATTCACATGTATGCATGTACTCTCTACATTGAAATAAATGGGGCAATTTATGTTCACAGAAGTGTTGCATGTATATTGGAGAACATCTGACTGGAGTCATGCTCACTAACCATGTTGGACTACTTGGTTAAATCTCAAAAAGCTACTATATTTGCCTTTCTATCCACCCATCCCAGTTAGTCAGTGAACTTTAAGAGACAAACCAAACTTTTGGATCTAAACTTTGGATAAAATGGCATGCTTTTTAATTAAGGTAACTAAATAAAATGCTGTGCATTCAGAACCTCATGGGATCACCTTCTAGCATCTCAAATTTATAAAGAGGTGATGGAAAAAACCTCTGCTGAGGCCTTTGAGTAGCTGATGCTAATCATAAGGAACTCAATGGAGAAATAGTCTGACCTGGTACAAATTCAACTCATTTGAACTTAGCTCTAACCTGACCTGCTTGAACATAAGATGCTGCTCCTAGGCCCACCTGCCTGGAGATAAGCCCTACTGAATATAGTATGATTTCTTTCTAAGACATGCAGATGGCATAACTCTGCCCACAGGCCTTTATTAAAGCATCAGCTGAAATTTTCAATCTGGTCTGTGTTAATTGGTCATCTGACACTGATTTAAAGTTCAGCTTTCAGAAAACACATTGGGGCTGGTTGAAGTTTGCTTTGATGCTGACCTTATTGTCACCATTCACAAGCTGAGAATTCAGCTAGCTTGAAACAGGGCACAGATGTAATATATTCTGCTAGCAGTGAGAGGCATGCCCACTGCTATACCAGTGCCAGAAGAGCAGAGATTACTGACAGATGAAAATTATTCTTCTGGACTGTATGATCCCAAATTTGTTCTGGAAAGTTGAGGGAAAAGAGAGACAAAGAAAAATTCCCTCATACAAGTGAAAAGCCTACAGATTGCACACAGGTACACTTGCTTGTTTGTTCATTCCTGTCATTTTTATGCTGGTTCCATCCAAGACTCAAGGCAGGTCACATCACAACAAAAATGACACAAATGAATAGTAAAATAATAATGCACACATTTTAAAATTAATAATAAAAATATCTCTGTTATTCTACAGAAGTAACCAGTCTTAAAACCATTCACTCCCTAGACATCTGCCATCTGTGTTGGCGCCTCATACCCTGTATAATGCTGCATAAAGAGGACCATCTTTATAGACTTAAAAACATCAGTAGGGAGAGAGCCATTCTGACCTTTGGAGATAAAATGATCTTATCCCAGGAGATTGGGGTTTGCAGCATCCCTCCTCCACCCATACGTACAAGATAGGCAGGTTCTATTTGGATCAGGTAACCAGCACCAGCCAGTGCCCTCACGCAGTATTTCGGTGTCATTTTACAATAAGAGCTCTCACCTGTCTGCAGGCAGGCAGCAGAGATTGCATCTGCTGCATGATATTTTGCATCAGTAGCAGCTTTTGAGTTGTCAAGGGCAGCCCCATATAGAGTGAGATGATAAGGTCACGTTCAAACATGTGGTGATAAGAGCATGAGTCAGTGTTGACAGAGCCTGCTGTATGCCACATTGAGTTATTCAATTCAAGCCTTCCTAAGCCAGTGTGGTCCAAACTTGGCCACTTTAAGATGAGTGGACTTCAACTCCCAGAAT